ATGCTGCCATTAACGGCATCATCAAAAGAGGTTTGGATGCAGCTGGGTTCCCTTAAACCCGTAGGCCTCGACCGCAGTGATGGAAAGCGGCCGGATGGCATTGCCATTTTCCCTTTTAAAATGGGGAAGTCGTTGATTTGGGATGCGACCTGTGCGGATACATTTTCGGCCGGTAATTTGATCAGGTCCGCGGTTGAGCCAGGATCCGTCGCCCGGGGTGCAGAGATGAAAAAAATAGTTAAATATTCTTCTCTTGCTGATAGAATTTTTTTTAATCCTGTACCAGTGGAGACTTCAGGGGCTGTTGGCCATCGTTCGATGGCGTTCCTTCGGTGGATTGGCGCGATTGCGTCTCGATTAAGGGACGAGTCTCGGGAAACGGAGTGGCTCTAGCAGCGTGTCTCACTGGCCATGGTTCGGGGTAATACTTTCTCCATCATTGCGGCTGGCAGAGGATAGAAAAAATTGTTTATTGTTACGTTGTTCTGGAATTGTCATCAGTGGTCAACTGTATTTGTTTTGTTTCAATAAATTTTAATTTATTAAATTATTCAGTTACTTTCTTAATAGGAATTGCCCACTTAAAACTATTAAAAAACAATTACAGACTAACCTCCCATCAACGGACTATTAGAAAGAACGGGTGGTCCGTTAAAGCCGATTGTCCGTAAATGAGAAGGGATTATTTTTGAGTTATAAAACTACTACAGTAACTACCAGTAGTTATGATCATAATGTAAATACTATAAACATGTATATATGGCACAAATGAACATATACTTAATATAGGTATACAGGGTGTCCATAAAGTTCGTGTGCACTTTAAAAAATTCATAACTTTATTTGTATTCGCGATAGAAATAATTTGTAAAATGGATTAGAAAGAAGTAAATCTATATTTTTTAAGGTTTTATTGAAATTTTATTTAAGTTTCCACATGTCCTCCATCATTAGCAATAAAAAGGGTAATACGATTTTGCAGTTCACGGAAAACATTTGCCAACTGATTTACAGTAATGCCTGAAATCACATTAGTTATTTTAGCTATACTCAAAACTAGGTACATTTAACTTTATAACATTTTTTACAGATTATTTCTATCGCAAATACAAATAAAGTTATAAATTTTTAAAAGTGCACACAAACTTTATGGACACCCTTTATTAATCAAAATAACAAAAAATATATTTCTCACAGCTACTTTCTCACACACGCGTTAATGTGTCGTACTTTATATACTGTACGCCCGGTTTTTTTAGAATTGAAAGGCCCGCCACCGCCGTTAAGTGGTCCCTTTGAGAACTAATACTACTCGTTCCGCTAAACCCGCAAATGTTGAAATACATCGATGTCGATTTGGAATTTTTTTTTTTCTTCCTGCGGATTTTTTTTTAATTTGCCTGCAGATTTTGTCCGTTGCATCCGAAGTCCATTGAAGGGAGGGTCCGTAGATGAGGGTTTTTTCTATACTTATATATTTCCTTTTTTGCATTTGTGACAGAAAAGCAAATATATAAGATTTGAACAGTCAAAATTCAGAGCCGGTGGTTTGAATAATACGTGAGTGCCAGGTGCAAAATTGCTATCAGTGATGATACGTCTACAGACTTGGCATCGGGGTTTGTTGCAGGTGATATCCCCATGGTGAGGTGGTGAATGATATATACAGGATGATGCTAAGAGTGTGTGCACATTGTGGGGCTGACGCCTAACGTAAAGTGGGTTCACCCTGAATATTTTTTTAAATTGTTTGGTCGAGTTTTAAATACTGGAAATCTTTTTTTTTTTTAAGATATGTGAATTTTGTGAATGTCGTAATTAAAATTAAAATCTACGGTAATTCTGTAATTATTATTTTTGTTTCATAGGTTACAAGAGTATATCTATTTTGTTTGGAAGCTCCAGTAATTAATTTTTTTTATAGTTTTAAGTAGTTTCAAGGGTAAAGTGGAAATACCTTCCACACACACCTCTCAGAAATGACTGCCACATAATGGTAGTGATTTTCGGCTTAGATGTGGCACAAGGCCGATAGTAGGGGGCATCCAGTGAGGATCAAACTCGCTACTCAGTCGTAATTGATCTAGCAAGACAAGCTTTCTAACCATTACACCACGTCGAGGTGTCCCTGCCACATAATGGTAAGAAACTAGTAGCAATGTTATCTTCATCTAGCTAATATCTTACCATTTTATTGGGAGGTATTTCTGGGAGGTATACGTGGGATGTATTTCTGCCGCCCCCTGTATAAGTTCCAGGAACTCAAGGCGATAAAAGACTTACTCGAGGAAAGAAATAAAATTGATATAAACTATAGTATTCATGTGATATTTTTATTTGTCAGTGAATGAAAAATGTCACTGCCAAGCAACCTTGTCCGATCCTCTGCTTACGAATGGCTGGAAAAAGAACAACTTGAAATATGAGGTGGGTAAACAAAGTGTCACGGGTTCATCAAGTGCAGTTAACCATTTTTGTTGGTTTTATATATTTTCTTTCCTTTTTTTTTAAAAAAAGTTACCGTGATTTCTACGACTATAAATGAAGAACGAGTTCCATTGACTAATAATGAAAACATCCTCCTTCCGAAGAATGACCTTTACGAATAGATCGTGCACAGAATTGACAGGTAAACAGGTTGATTGACAATTTGGCAGACAGGCGGCGTGAAAGAATGAGCATCACAAGGGAAAAAAAAAACAAAAATGACAAAATAATCGACGGGAAAGAAAACAGGGGGAGAAAATCCCCAGGAAGTGGTTAATGATGATAAGCAGGGTTCAAATTTCGGATTTATGAGTACACCAGGTTCGACGAGGTTATTGCTTGTTTAATAAACACGTCGGATTTCTGATCAGATTCAAGTCGTTTGCCAAAAATATGCGCAGAAGACTTTTGATAGGAACTGGGATAGATAGATAGATAGATAGATAGATAGATAGATAGATAGATAGATAGATAGATAGATAGATAGATATGAACAGGCAAAGATATGAAGAGGAAGAGATAGATAGATAGATAGATAGATAGATAGATAGATAGATAGATAGATAGATAGATAGATAGATAGATAGATAGATAGATAGATAGATAGATAGATATGAAGAGGCGTTCGAAGATAGGTTATATAAGGCGTTCGGTTTGTTATAAAGATCATTTCTTCATTACAAGAGTGAACTTTACTGACCATTATTTATCTATCTTTTGTCATTTTAGAGATAACTTTAGAATTGCTTCCTACTGTATCTCTCTCTCTCTCTCTCTCTCTCTCTCTCTCTCTCTCTCTCTCTCTCTCTCTCTATTAAGAACGGCTCGATGTCGTTTTTAAAATTTCCAGGGAATCCCGTTTTTTATTTCAGGGACATAATATTGTCGAAATAAAAGAGGATCCTCATTTTGTCTGGAAAGCAAAGGAACTTTATTTTTTGTTTCTTGATTATTTTTTTAAAAATCATTTCCCCACAAGCAATGCGATAATACCACCTAGGAGGTTCTGGGAGTGACAAAGAATGAGAAGACATTGTTGAGGGGAAAAGATAATAAAAGAACAGGTTTCAGAAAGACAGAAGATAGTGTCTGGCGTTGCATTTAAATTTATTGGAGACTGTAGGTGACAGGAAAGCATTGAACCGAAAGAGAGTTCTCCAGGCGAGGAGTGCGACAAAAGAAATTATTAGAATAGAAAATACAGATATATCTAACTAGTTCAAAACTAAAACAAAAATAATAGCACGCTTAAATTCATGCAATCGAGACATTGGGGATCGAAACTAATCAGAACACTTGTCATGAGGATATATGTAGAAAAGGCAGTGGGAAGCCATATTACAGCTGCTCGAAAGAAGTGTACGATCAATTGTGGAAGTTTAGGACTTTTCATTGGCTGACAATCATTCTGTTAGGAGTTAGTCTTTTCTTCTTGCATTTGTTTACTACCTCATTGATGTTACCACGTTTAACCCCAGCAAGCGGTTAATGATGATAAGCCGGGTTCGAATTTCGGATTTATGAGTACACCAGGTTCGACGAGGTTATTGCTTGTTGTAATAAACACGTCGGATTTCTGATCAGATTCAAGTCGTTTTCCAAAAATATGCGCAAGAGACTTGATAGGAACTGGGATAGATAGATAGATAGATAGATAGATAGATAGATAGATAGATAGATGAATAGATAGATAGATAGATAGATTCATAAAACATGAGATAGATAGATAGATAGATAATAGATAGATCGAAGATAGATAGATTTTTTTTCTGATACAATTCAGGTAGGTAGGTTAAAATGAGAAACTCTTGAGATAGATAGATAGATAGATAGATAGATAGATAAATAAGAACTATTTATTTAATTAAAAATTATTACTTCTATAGAGATTGATAGATAGAAAATTGAAACTCGATGTCTTCCGATTAGATAGATGACTGTTTTAGATAGATAGATAGATAGATTGTCCACTTCAAATACTACCAGATTGAGGTAGGTAGAAAATAAAAACAATCACTGAGATAGACAGATAAAAAAATAGATATATAATAAAGAATAGATAGATAAATAGATAATATATAAATGTGTGTGATGTGTGTGATAGATAGATAGAAAAATGAAAACGCGTGATACGATAGATTTAGATTTAGATAACATGATATTAGATTAAAATTATAGTATTTCGTTCAGTTTTTGCAATACATAGTTAGTCCTTTTTTGCATCTTTGCTTTCCAAATGAACTAATTTAGAAATTTATCTTCTGAATAGTTCTTTCAGTTTTTTCTCCTCTCAAAGCTATCAATTCAGTTTTTGTTATCACGTTTATGAGAATAGACTCTTTCGTACCCTGTAATTTGGTAAACGTTGAGTTAGTCTTTTCTCCTTGAATTTAAAAAACGAAATGGTGAAAACTATTTTATTTTATTATTTCTTCGGTTTTCATAATTATTACTTCTATATAATTATATTATATTCTATCTTTGTGTAGTATAATGTGCTTGCCTTGAACTCGATGTCTTCCGGAATTACTCCGTTCGATGACTGTTTTGGCAAAGTTTCTTTCTTTTCATTTTGCCATACCCTTTGCGTCTGGGTGGCAAATCTCTGACCAGATTGACGCTGTAAATTGTCTAAAAATACAATACAATCACGTATACCAACAGAAAAAAAACATTTATAGTAATAAAGAACTTATGTCGGATAAAATATCAATTCAATATATATATATATATATATGTGTGTGTGTGTGTGTGTGTTGATACTACCTAACATCCCGACACCAAAAAATCGCCGTATACATGTGTGTTTGGTTTATATATATATATATATATATATACATATAATTATGTGGACTATTATATATATATATATATATATATATATATATATGTTCAGTTTTGCATATTTGCTATTCTAATATATATATATATTAGTGTGTGTAGTAGGATGTTCTTTGCATGCTTGCATTTAGAAATGAACTGCTATCTTTTATTTAGAAATTTACCTTTCTGGAATATATATAATCTATGTCTGTTTGTGTATTTTCTCCTCTAAGACAAAATGGTTAAATGGTTTTATGTTTTTTCCCCCAAAGGGCTTAAAGACGGTCTGCTGGCGTTTTCGTCCTGAAATAAGGATACTATTCAAAATTTCTGATATGTAGTGTTTATATTTCAACTTCTCCTTATCTGTGTATTTATATAGACGAACGTTGGACAATTTCTAAAAGTCTATTCCCAATGAATACCAGGTGGACAAAGGAAGCTAATATCGAGGAATACACCAAATCGGTTCTTGAAATGACTGTGAAAACTATTTAACAAAATTTTAAAATAGGAACTTCGACAGTTTTCAGAATCAGCACCTTATCCTATATATAAAAATATATATATAAATAAATATATATATTGTCTGTTCTTTTTAATAATGTGTTTTGATGAATAATTGTAGCCTAAATATACCTCACCTTTTTTTTGTTTATTATGTTTTACGTACAGGAACCTAAATGGGTTTTTAATGCCGATAAATTTTTGGATAGATCATTAAAGGTTTAAATTCCGGTTTTTCTAAAACCTTTTCTTTAATTTCATTTTTTAGGATAGATTCCTTTGCGTCTTTGGGTTTAGATTGGCATTATCTCCTGACTTGTGACAGTGCCTTATTTAATGCTGACAACATTTTTACCTAGATTTGTATTGAATAGAATTGTACAGGGTTTAGTTGATTTGGTTTACACATTTACACATACAACCTCAATTGGTTATTTAATGCACGACACATTTTTTAGGATAGAATGAATAGAATATGTATTCACATTGGTTTGGTTTATTTTGACACATACAACTTCAATATATATATATATATAGTTTTATATATATATATATAGATATGTATATTTGGTTTATTGAATTTTGTTTTACGGAATACAAGTAAATTTAATGGACAACATTTTTAGGATAACTTATGAATGAATTGATACTTTGGTTTACATCCCGTTTTTACAAAAAAATCAACTTCAATGGACCGTTTATACAATATTTTTAGGATAGATTCGTATGAATAGAATATGTATATATATATATAGATATAATTTATTTTGTTTGTATATCAACCACAATGGGTTATTTAATATATATATATTTATATATATATATATAATATATGTATTCTTGGTTTAGATGCATTATTTTGTTTATATTATCAACCTCATATATATATATACAACATTTTAGGATAGTTTGTATGAATAGAATATGTATTTTTTGGTTTAAATCCACGGTTTATTTTGTTTTACGGCATATATATATATGCGTGTTTATCCATATATATATATTTTATATAGATTTCTGTGTATATATATTCTTTGGTTTAGTTGTTTGTCTGTTTGTGTATTTATATCAACCACAATGGGTTATTTAATGGCAAAACATTTTTATCATAGATTTTCGTCCCCCAAATATGTATTCTTTGGTTTAGTCTGATTTGGTTTATTTTGTTTTACGGACGGAACCTCAATTGCATTTAATATTATCCATTTTTACATTCAATTAACCAATATTATTCTTTGATATGTTGTTTGTTTATTTTGTTTTACATATTCTCCTTAATCTGTTTAATGTATTTTTATCCATTCGTGAATAGAATGGACCATTTCAAATTGTTCATTTTGCTTCCCAATGAATACCAGCATGCAGACAAATTTTAGAAATTTAAATACCACAGATAAAATTGATTTGGTTCTTTTGATTTAATGACAGCCAAAGTCGACAACATTTTTAGGATAGATTTGTATAACAAAATAGGAACTTGATTTGGACATTTTGTTTATATCAACAAATACTCAGCATTTTATCCCGACAATATTTTTAAAATACAATAAAAAATAAACAGACAGAAATTGTTTGTTTATTTTGTTTTACGGCAATCCACCTTGTTTGGATGAATAACATTTTAGGATAGATTCGTAAATAGAATATGTGTTCTTTTTTTTAAATTGATTTGGTTTATTTTGTTTTACGGCATATCAACCTCAATGGATTATTTAATGCCGACAACATTTTTTAGGATAGATTTGTATGAATAGAATATGTATTCTTTGGTTTAGATTGATTTGTTTTATTTTGTTTTACGGTATATCAACCTCAATTGGTTATTTAATGCCGACAACATTTTTAGGATAGATTCGTATGAATAGAATATGTATTCTTTGATTTAGATTGGTTTGGTTACTTTGTTTTACGGCATATCAACCTCAATGGGTTATTTAATGCCTACAACATTTTTTATTGCTGATAATATTTTGTTTTGTCAACAATCTGTTTCTGGTAATATTTTTCCTTCAAAATTGTATTGCTGGTAATAATTTTTTTTTTCAAACAAGTATTGCTTGTAATAGTTAACTATTTGCTCATAGCTGGGATCCTAACAGGTGCTACCACCCCGGGTCAGGGTGGACCTGGGAACACCAGCAATTAAGACGTGGTTCCACACTCCTCAAAACCTCCTGATCAGAGGCCTTGCTGCTGGACGTAGTTCATCGTCTTACCCAGGACGAATACCTTATAGATATATATATATGTTCACATAAGTATATTCATGTATGTGCGTTTATATATGTGTGTAATTACTTGAAACAATCGCGTTAGTTTCCTTTGACAGGGTGTAATCAATTGTTAAAAAAATAAACATATGGACTTCGGATAGATTATCGAGAATTCTGATCCCGATATACGGCATATGCAGATGACACAGTGTTGATAGTAGACACAGAAAGGAAGTTACAATAACCCTTACAGACATTAGTGAAGAAAGAACTAGACATTAACTGCAAGAAGACAGAATGTATGCACCCTTGTATATATATATATATATATATATATATATATATATATTAATACAAGTAAAAGGTTTGTAACTTAGCTGATTGATACTACCTTCAACATCCCGACACCAAAAAATCGTAGACGGACCGTATACATACATGATTATGTAAGTGTGTATATAAACCGCTTTAGTTTCCTTTCTTTCTCTATACGATCATTTTTAGACCCACTGGGGTGATAGGGTGTAATTGATTTCTATTTTTTCCTCAGATTAGCTCATTTGCAGTGCTTTGCAGTAATATGAATCTACTTTCGGGTGTATGATGAAATCTGTTTGGTCTTGAAAAATATTACGTCATTCATGATTGCATCAGATTTTCATCACCCGCTAACAGTATTGTCTCCACTGTCGATTAGTTGTCCTACTGCCACTGTCTACGATGGACCTTACTCCAAGGAAGCGTACGAAAATTATAACGCTACACGAACGCACTGGCAAGCTTTACCAGTGAACAATCAAAAGTACTACAGACTGGCCGGGAAACTCTCCTGATTTAAATCCAATCGAGAATCTGTGGTCAATCTGCAAGGAACGACTTCGTGGAAAGAACATATGAAGTACTAACATGTGTCATGATAATGGAATTATTCTTTTTGTTTCAAGTAATTTGCACAAGGGTGTATGTATATATGCGTATGTATGGTGGAAGTCAACTTGTAAGACCATCACTTGCACTATGTGTGTGTGTGTGTGTGTGTGCGCGCGCGCAAATGTGTGTGTGTGTCCGTCTGGGGTGCATTGGAGTAAGTGTGTGTGTGTGTGTGTGTGTGGGTGTATTACAATTAGTGTTTGTGTATGTGTGTGTGTGTGTGTGTCTGTATGTCTGTCTGTGTGTGTGGTTTGTGTGTGTGGGGGGGTGTGTGGAGCTAAGTAATTGCCTTCTTGGGCTTATTACAATTAATGTTTGCGTGTGTGTGTGTGTGTGTGTGTGTGTGTGTGTGTGTGTGTGTGTGTGTGTGTGTGTGTGTGGGTGGGTGTTGGAGCTAAGTAATTAGCAGCCTTCTTGGGCTTATTACAATTAGTGTTTGCGTATGTGTGTGTGTGTGTGTGTGTGTGTATGTCTGTCTGTGTGTGTGGGTGTATTGGAGCTAAGTAATTAGCAGCCTTCTTGGGCTTATTACAATTAATGTTTGTGTGTGTGTGTGTGTGTGTTGTTTATCATCCCGATTGCGTAACACATTCCTATTTTTTTTATTTACTCTTAATTTCCCGCCCTAAAATTTTCCCGCCGCCATTTCATTCTTTTCCGCCATAATTTATCTTCCTGATGTTTATCTGCTATTCAAAAACTGTCATCATTCTATTTTTCTAAACATTTTTTGCTTACGTTCGGTTTTTTGCTCTTCCCTCTTTCTTTTTGTAATCTCACCATCAACAAAAACCAGTGGCTTATTTTACGGTCCCATAAATATTTCTATTTGTCTCGTCCGTCTTCCGTTTGTTTAACTATCTTCTTCCTGTTTTAGTTGCCGATGCTCAATTTGGGATATTTTCGACGGCTAATGGCACCTGGCCTAGTTTCGCCAAAATAAATCCATTCTAGTCTACACACATGTGTGCGTAGGAATAAACACATGCACAAGCATAAAAGCAGATTCTTTCTCTTTCTTCCTCTCTTTCTCCCCCTCTCTCTCTCTCTCTATCTATCTATCTATCTATCCCAGTTTGTTCATATCTATCAAAATATGTAATATCTATGTATCTATCCATCTATCTATTTATCTATCTATCTATCTATCACAGTATGTTCGTATCTATCTATCACAGTATGTTTATATCTATTTATCTATCTATCTATCTATCTGTTCATATCTATCTGACTACCTATCTCTGGTTCTTCACATCTATCTCAATCTGTCCATATCTATCAGAATATGTTCATATCTATCTACCTATCACAGTATGCTCATATCTATCTATTTATCTATTGATCTATCATAGTCTGTTCATATATATCAATCGGAATATGTTCTTATCTATCTATCTATTTATCTATCTATCTATCTATGTCATTCTGTTCATTATCTATCTATCTATCTATCTATCTATCTATCTATCTATCTATCTATCTATCTGTCTGTCTGTCTATCTCAACCTGTTCATATCTATCTATATATCTATCTATTTATCTATCTATATATCTTTGTACCTCCAAAGATTTGCTCAAAAATTATCATACATAATGAAAAAAAAATGCCCCGAACTTAATAAAAAGAAGGTTTTATCGTCAAAATCTTTGTTATTTTTAAGGGGTAAGAATAAAGGATTCTTTGATTATCAAATAATATTCTTTAACTTTTTCAGGACGTTTATAAATTAGTATAGAAAATTTTAGCGTTTTTTATTTTTTTGGTGGGGGGGGGATGAAAAATACATTTTACAAAAATCAAATAGTTGTATTTTAATGATACTTTAGATGGTTTATTCACAAATGAATTAAATTATTTTTGAAATCATTTGTTTTTAGAAAATCTTGGTAGAACATATATTTTTACATCTGCTTTTTCCCACCTATTTAATTTTATGAAATTTCAAGAAATTATATTTTTGTACAGCTTAATGTATGTATTAGCTATAAGCAGTAATCTTTTTTGAATTTAAATCATCAATTTTTTATTTATTTTTTATTTTTATTTATTTATTTTTTTGTAAACTAACCTGGAAACTCGGTTACCAAAAATTTGCTCTGAATTGTAAAATTAAAAAAAAATGGATTAAAACTAAGACATTATTTAATTATAAAAAAAACTTTGATTTCCTTTTATGAAGAAGATATATTGCCTTAAGAAAAAAAAATGTCCGACAAATAATGAAATTTACAAGAATTGGTTCCATTTCTTTTAAATTTGAATTTGAATTATTTGTAAAGTTTTAAATCTTTTAAAATTTTCTATTAATTCGTGCAAGTTAAGTGATATTATTATTAAGTAAAAACTATATTTACTCATCCTTGCTACAATTCAGCGACCCCCAGTATTATTAAAAATATTTTTTTGTGTCTCTATAAACGTGCTGATTTTTATAAATACGGGCATCCATACACGACATTATCAGAAAATAAATCCTACAGTAAATTTAAAACCGAACTACCTAAAATTCAATAAAACATTAGATTGCATAGAATATATTCTTAAATTTTTTAAGATTATTGCGTAGTTAAAAATTATATAAAAAGGGCGCTCACGTTGTATTCCTCTAGTAATTTTTACAGATATTCCCCTGTAATAAAATTAAATAAACTTCCGGCCGTCAAATTGTCAACAAAACTGTTAACACCTATATAAAACACCTACCTCCGTGTTAAAAGATGCTTTTCTGTGATAAAAGTAAGTAAATCTTCTTTCATTAATTAAACTTTAAATCAGCTAATACTCCTCAAATAAAGTTTCATAAAAGTATATTTTATTTTTGAAGGGTTTTTACTAAAGATAATTACATTGTGTTGACAGATGACTAAAAAATGGATAAAACCAGAAACTTGGAAAAGATAATCAGAAATTAAACAGACCGAACTTGTCAGTTCTTTTCAAACTTTTTTGGATGAATTCCTGCAGCCTAAATGTATTCAGAGTGCGTATATATATATATATATATATATATATATATATATATATATATATATGTGTGTGTGTGTGTGTGTGTGTGTGTGTGTGTGTGTGTGTGTGTGTGTGTGAAAAGTGTGTGTATATAAATATAAATATATATATATATGTAATATATATATATATTATTATATATATATTATATGAGCGGTACTTATTAGAAAGCTCTCAATATTAGAGATAGAGCTAACATATTTGGTTGGATAGATGTGAGTTTGTGACCCTGCGTTTCACGCTTTTGCGATCGTCAGACAAACTGTTTCATTTTTTAAAATTTTGGATTTATGTAGATTGCGTGTATTGGTGTTATTATGGAAGTGGGGGGGATCGTCTTTGTGATGTCATTCATGCTAACGCAAACATAGATGCATGTCCATACACCCGATGAGGTACGCAGACATACATACACACTCGCTCGTCCGCTGGGGGTTCATACAGATATAAACATATGTGGACAGTATGGGATTTGACATATGTATGTATATGTGCGCTGTTGTCTCTATACATACGCATTTGTATGTTGAAATTCAAAGATCGGAAGTGTAGCGAAAATTTCTCGTGAATGTCTCGTGAAATTTTAAAAAATTAATCAGTTTGTCTGACGATCGCAAAAGGGGGAAACCCAGGGTCTCAAACTCACATCAATCCAACCAAATATATATATATTTATATATATATATATATATGTGTGTGTGTGTGTGTGTGTGTAAAGATATATAGAAAATAGAAAAGAACTCGTTAGGTAAATAATCCAAAGTTCTTTAGTATTTTTGTTATTATTTTTTAAAGATAGTGCTCGATACAAAAGTAGAGCATAAATATAATTATTTATTTAAAAATATAATTCTATGGCGATGGAATCATATTTTAAATATATATATATATATATATATATATATATATATATATATATATGTGTGTGTGTGTGTGTGTGTGTGTGTGTGTTATATACACACACTTTCACACACACACACACACACACACACACATATATATATATATATATATATATATATATATATATATATATGTGTGTGTGTGTGTGTGTGTGTGTGTGTGTGTGTGTGTGTATTTCAAATGAAAAATCTTTCTTGAAGCATTTATTTTAGGTTTAATGTCATGCTAGTAGATTAAATTTAATATTCCTAACAAGCAAAATATTTTGCCGTATATAAAAACTAATTTAAATTGATTGAAAGTAGTTTCTTTTTTTTTTTCTTTTTTTTTTTAATCGCTAAACATTTCCGCCGAATCCTCTGCGCTCCTCTCAGTTTGACACCCAAACACATTAAAATGTTCGCATTGGAACTTCCGGCGCGAATGCCAAGCAGTACATCATGCCGTTTCCAAATTTCTGGCAGAATGAACAGCGTTATGGTGCCCTTTTTCTCACATACGATGGCCAACTGACCTAACTGTGCAGTCGACAAAATCAAAAACAAACAGCACGCATGCGTGAAATTAAGAATATAAAATTGCGACAATTTACCCATCGCACCACGCGCGCGCGCACGCGCGGGGGGGGAGCACACACACACACACACACACACACACATATATATATATATATATATATGGATTACACATCTACTTTCAATATAATGCGGCCACTAAAGTTAAGCAACGTCGATCAGTACCAAGATGGGTGACCGCTTGAGAATATTAGGAGGTTTCAGATGGGATTTGTATCTAATTGATAAAGGCTGGGGATAGTTAATAACAGAGCCGAGTTCTTAGTTCAATTGGGTTCGTTATATTCACTTATGCACAAAAACCTTGGGAAAGGTATGAATTCACCTCTTCTCCCCAGCTATGGGTTAATTAGTAAAAACTTGTAACACGAAAGTGTTATTATCTCCAAAAAATAAAATAAAATTGCGTAGAAAATATTTAGAGTTTGGCATTAAATAATTTGATTGATGTGCCGCTAAGCAAAAAACAACCAACTTAGTTTTCTTGAGCTATATTTCAAAGACAAAAAATAACAGTACGATTGCCGATGGGACATGTATGACTTTAGTTATGCAATTTCAAACAATCAGGCGCAAACAGAATATTAATAAGCAGATCAGAACTAAAAATTACCACCAGTCACGATGAACGGATATCCCGACGGGGAGGCACCGTGTCTTGGGAGAATATTGGGTCTCAAACTCACGCCTGACCTCAAGTAGAACTCTTATTTACCACCCATTGCTAAAGATGCAAGTAAAATGATCGGCTTCCTGTACTCTTGCCATATTTAGGCGGGAGATGCCCAGTCCTCTTGATAGAGTTCAAAAGCGTCTCCGTTCCTTGTTGCAGGATGAATAATTTCCCACCATCCAACCTCTCTCTCACAGGCGGAATATGGCGTGTCTGTCACTGTCTCCATCGCTACTACATTCCTTCGTTCCGCTAGATCTAACCTTCACGACAAGAACCCGCCACTTCCATAGTATCAAATCACCCGCATTCCCTCCGTAATCCATCGGCGAGAAGTAAGTTCCACTCAAACAGCTTCTTCCCGCGAACCACAGCTCTGTGTAACAGATTCCAAAGAGGATGTTTCCCTGATCACTACAATCTTAACCTGTTCAAGTCTAGAGCTAACCATTATCTCCCCCTTATATCCATATAAACTGATATAATGGAATACACATACACCTGAGTTCTCCAACTCACTGGAATATGATTGGCTGGTGTCCGTCATAAATACAGACGGACATGTAGGTATGACAGAGTTTAAGTCTATGACGACGCCCATTGGACTACGCCATTGGCTATTTTATTGGTCTACACCTATTAGCTGCGACTACGGCGAGTACCAGTCGATTACTGCTACCGTGTACTACTTGGTTACAGTAGCCAAACCCACTTAGCTACTTTGATCAAATATATCGCTTTCTGGGAGATATCATCTTAATCTCTCAAGCTATTTCTATCAGCTTGGCTCTTTCTTTTGCTCTCTTTATGTGCAAAATCCCTGGTTCTCATTAAACAAGAATTTAGTCTTTCATGAACCATGAATCACATAAAGACACCAGTTTTCATTAAAATGCTGTCATGCTTAATAAAATTTTCATTTTATAAGATAAATTGATCCTATTTTATTACCAGTTGTAATTCATCTTTTGACAGTTGTTTTTATCACAACACATTTTGTTCAGCTCACACATTACTAGTTTTAACCGATTAAAATTTCAAGGTTTTCCTATTTGAAATTTCTGATGAATCTTGATTCTTCAGTTAATGAGTGAATAAGCTCATGGCAAGTTCTACATCAATAAAATATCTATAAAATTCCTTATCAAATCGCTAAATATTTGAGCTTAACAACTTTAACAAAATATTGCAGTAATAATCAAAAGATGAATGCTGGTTGTTATTTTTAGGAGGTACAGATGAAAAGATTTGAAATTGACAGCCTTTTCCATTTCACCAAAAAGACGTTAAACACTTCTGTCTTTCCTTCTTTCTTTAGTTTTCTAACTGAAACCAAGTAGCATCTGTGATATTCATTTTCTCTTCTCACATCAAAATGGGATAGTCCATTATGAGCAGAAGACGTTAGACAAGTTTTTTTTTTTTTTTTTTTTTGGTCACTGATACCAAGTAGCATCTGTGATATTCATTTTCTCTTCTCACATCAAAATGGGATAGTTCATTATGAGGTGTTAGCAGAAGATCATAGACAAGTTATCTTTTTTTGGGGGGGTCACTGATACCAAATAGCAACTCTGATAAGTCTTCTGTTTTTCCACACGATCAAAATGGAATAGGCCATTATAAGGTATTGGCAAGGCGTGACGGTCGTGCAAACTAACAAAAGTAGAGATCAGCACAATTATAAAAGGATTATCGGCTTACAGTCATATCCTGTCAAAACACCAGTTCTCGTATGATCACTAAAGTGGAGCAACCTCGAGCCTGGTCAGTACTTAGATGGGTATCTGCTTGGGAATACCAGGTTGTTATAGTGGAACACACCTATTCTTTAGTTAATAGACTCTCCCACCTATAATAAGTAGGAGTAGTAATAGTAACGAGGGGTAGCAGGTCGCTCAGTGGCTCAGTCAGTCGATGTCGGACGACCGTTAGCTAGATATTAAAGTATCAGCGACCACAACTAGATTTCTCTGCGTCATTACCTATTATATCAAGTTCCGAACGTTTTGTACGTCGAACCTATTTTAGGGCCGACTTAGTACAAATACAAGCCTCCACTGTGAAACCACTCTACAACGCAGGTGCTGTAAGGTTTGATGTGTGGGTGATGAAGCATTGTCAATTATTAATTTTCTAACTAGTATTTCTTTAATTTTTCTGTTGCTTTATTTACACTAGCCGTATTCGATGTAATTAATTTTTACTCGTTAAAATTTCATGGTTTTCCTATTTCAAATTTCTGATGAATCTTAATTCTTCAGTTAATGATTGAATAGACTCATGGCAAGTTCTACATCAATAAAATATCTATAAAAATCCCCCTATCACATCGCTAAATATTTGAGCTTAACAACTTAGCTACTTCGATCAAATATATCCCTTTTCGGGACATATCATAAACTACTCCTTAACACAACCCTCTACATCGAGTAGCTCCTGGGCCTTGTACAGGGTGAACCTTACTACAAGAAAATAAGAGAGAGATATTATTACTTAAATGCTAATTTAGACGATACCCATATTTATGTAGACGCTCCGTTTATTTAGTAAACACTATATTTATTTATTTTTGTCTACCGGCCTGATTATTCGGGAAATCTTATTACAGAAAAATAGGCGCTCTCCAGCAGGATTCGAACCTACTTACCAGACCTCCCACCCCGAGCAAGGGGTGAAACCCTCGTTAGATCAGACGTGCTTTAGACCACTCGGCTACGAAGCGCATCGGTGAACAAGCAACGTTTAAAGTCTGTGAGGGATTTGCGTTCATAAGGCACTAACCTTATAAAAGTAAATCTTTCGCAAACTCTCAAAATATACATAGCTACTCGGTTCTGTCTCCGTATCCATATAAACTCAACGTAACCTCTACATCGAGCGCCCACCGGGCCTTGTATTGGGTGAACCTCACTGTAAATAAAAAAAAGAAGAAAAAGGACTCAAATCAGTTACACCAATTTTCGATTTCTAGGGTTAGCGTTAAGGTTAGGCATACAAGGCGTATCAATTCGTATCTCTTTCGAGTCAGATGTGGAACACTTTGATAATCAGGCTTCATCTCAAATTCAGCTTCATTCATCGGAAGATCTAACGGAAAATCTCGTGACCCTTAATGACCCCAATAGTAAGAAAAAAAAGTGTTTTGAACTCAGTAACCCGGGGACAAATATTATCTGTATGTTTTTATCCTGGAATGGGGACAAGTAGATAAGTAAAGGCGTTCGTCGACAACACCTGTCAAAAGTTGTCTATTTTAGTGACCTCTGACATTTAGACGGAATGTTGAGAATAGTATTGTTTCGAAAGGGCCTAGTTGATCCTACGCACTTCGAAGGGCACATTTACGTGTTTATCCGAAACGTTCCCTGTTCGATGGGAAGGCTATTCCTGTCGGTGAGTGAGCAATTTACTAATATAATTATTAAATAGACTATAGAGATGAAAAGATAACTAGATGCAAACAGACTTAGATATGAGCAGATTTATATGTATGTTCATATATATATGTGTGTGTTTATATATATATATATATATATATATATATATATATATATATATATATATTTAGGCAGCGTTTTTTCCTTTCATTTCAGACGTTATGAAAAGAATTTACATAAAATAAATAGACAACACTTGTTTATAGTATTTTATGAAACATGTATGAATATATATATATATATATATATATGAAGAGAGAGAGATAAACAGATCTGCGGATATAGGCAGACTTAGATATGAACATAGATAGATATTAACAGACTTAGATATGACCAGACATGTATATATATATATATATATATATATATACATAGTTGGATTGATGTGAGTTTGTGACCCTGGGTTTCACGCTTTTACGATAGTCAGACATATTTATATACATACACATTTCACACACACACACACACACACATACACACACACACATATATATATATAGAGAGAGAGAGAGAGAGAGAGAGGAAGCGTCTAGTTAGCAAGATCGAATTACTACTTTTAAACTACAAATTTCGCATGATTTCTCTCGAACGCTTATATCTGCTCGAAGCTTAACGGAAACAATATGACTTAATTTAATCTTGCATCTAGTTAATATCTTAACGGAAACAAATGAACTCATATATTATGAAATGGACTAAGTCCGAAAATTATTTTAATATATTTATTGTTTATACATTATTGTTATAGATACAAATATCTAAGTAAATGCTATGTTTATAATAAACTGTATTAACAATTAACAATATTTTCCCACCTGAATGTCCGAGAAATTTCATAAAAAATATGTGTCCTCCGACAGGAATCGAACCTACACGGAACCGTCATATAGCCCGACGTGCTATACTATTTAGCTACAGAGGAAGCGTGTCGTTAGCAAGAATTGGTCCTGTCACCTTCAGATTATCTCACGTTCCGATTTAATGAACAGTGAGTGCCAAATTTTCAAGATGTCAAAATTTTTCTAAAAATTCAACGAATCAAAAATCGAATCGTTTTTCAGGATGGAATACAGGGAGTTTTTAATTTTTTTTTTTTTTTCGCGCATGTGCGTTGTTCATTTTGGATTTTGTCGACTGCACAGTATGGTAGGGTCAGTTGGGCACCGTCTACATTGCATCATGATGCAATTCATTCCGCCAGGAATTTAGAAACGGCATGCTGTACTGCTTGGCCTTCGCGCTAGAATCTCCAATACAACCATTTCAGAGTGATTGGATGTTAATCTTTCATACTTTTTCTTTTTAAATCAGTATTACCCTATGCAAGGCAGTAAAGCCACTAAGACAAGAGGATACAAGGTGTGGAAGAATTAGGAACAGAAACATTAATAATGAGTGTGAAGAGGAAAGAGTAATCCGGAGAGCAGTAGATAGCATTTAAATTTTTGCAGTTTAAAATCGTTTGGAAAGCATGGAGCCAGAAAGGAGTTTCACAAGCGAGAAAAGAAACTGTTAACATAGAACATCTAGCCAGCTCAACTGTAAATTGATGAGATCACGACGCCAGTCTAATACTGCACTTAAATTCTAAAAATCTAGGTACCATTATGATGAAAGTATTTATAGAAAAGACAGAGAGGCAACCTTACGGCAGTGGGAAAATGATTGAAGCTGAGCCGCCATATCAAGACTAATAATATTGCGGATTCTTTGGATTTTATCAAGGATCTCTAGATACATAGAGAGAGCACCATCTCATATGTGGCAGCAATATTTTAAGGTCGAATATGAACATTTCAGAGTTTTGGGGTGTCAATCTGAGGACTGTGCAGAGGATTCGGAAAGAGTTGGATGATATATCCAGTCAACATCACGGTGTTTAGAGTGATCACTAGTGATGGGGATGTTATACCTCCATTCATCTTCCCACAGGACCTCAGAGTCAAGATTGAGGTCTACAGCAAGTGCTTTGAGGTGGAAGTGCTGCCGTGGGTCAAGCGGGTGGCTGCTGGAAGACCCTATGTTGGCCAACAGGACTCTGCACCATGCCACACAAGCAGAAGAATCTATTCATGGCTGTCAAGTAATTTCTGCGACCACATCACCCCTTACATCTGGCTACCTAACTCCGCAGACTGCAACTCCTTGATTATTATGTGCGTTGTGCAGTTGTGCAAGAGACCAACTGTTGTGGTCTCCTCCCTCTTAAGAGTCTATGTTAGACTCTTCCGCCTACTATAAGTTTAGTAGGAGAGAAGGTTCGGGGAACAATGAACAGTGAACAGTAAATAGATTGAGCGCTAGTCCATTCGATACACTCTCAATAGTTGTGTAATACTCTTCTGGTGTACTTACTGTTTAATATACGATAAATCTGCAAACCTGGTTTTTGTTATTACTTAACCATTTACTTGGTCACAACACCCACAGAACTCCTTGTAACACCAAAGATGTACTAAAGACTATTGCAGCATTCACCATTTTAAACAAGGATACCGCCCAGAAGAGTTGCAGGGGATTTCGAACTTGTCTTGAGTTCGTGGTTGAAGTCAATTGCGATTTTATTGAATACATTTACTCTTTAATATTTCAAGATATTTTCTGTAATTTTGGTAAATATATCTGTTAATACGAGATGTCAGTGTTATTTTCATTTTTGCGTAATTTAGAGGACAATTTTTCCATCGCGGCCTGTACATAATTCAGTTGAAATCTGGTGCATGGTCAGAGAATGCCACGGAAAACATATTGATGAGTCAATAATGTCGCTACGGATAAAAAGGAATAAAAGAATTTTGTCAACAATACTGGAACCTTTCACTGAAAGGTTGTGTAAGGTCATATAAAAGCCAAAGGAAATACGTTAGTGGCTGAATAATGACGATATGAATTTATATGAATAAAATATTTTTCTCAATAAACAACGCCGGAAACTTTTGCATCAACATAACATGATGGCGTACACAATTTAGCTGAAAGGTAGTGTACGCTTATAGAAAGCGAAATAAAATACTTTGATAGCTGAACGATGACGCTATGAATTTGTATGAATAAAATAATTTATCCAAAAATAATTCTAAAAACTTTTATCTCAACCTATATTTATTTTTATTTATTTATTTATTTGTTTATCGCCATATCAACACCTTATGGGTCATTTAATGCTGAAATTTAATTTTCTTGGGAGAATTAGTAAATTCCTTTACAAAAATGTATTGCTGGTATTTTTTTTTTCCTTACAGAAATGTATCGTTGGTAATTTTTATTTTTATTACAAAAGCGTTTTACTAGTAATTTTTTACTATGAAAATGTATTGCTGGTATTTTTACTTTACAGTTTTTCCAATTTCATAGTGTTTACATCCCAGGT